TGCTGTTACTAAAAGGCTAACAGAAGGGAAACTGTGGAGCGAGAAGAAACAAGGCAACACCCAGATCATGGTGGAAAGGACAAAGGAGACGTCTGTGCTATGAATATGTGCTCTTTCCCTGCAGTTGTTTCTGGGCGATAAGCTACTGTGCCTGAGCAAGGGACCCTGCGCCTTCCCGCTCACTTCTGCAGATGTGCCAGCACTGGAGCAGTGCTGAGGTGAGGCTGTGTTGCTCTAAGGCCTGTGGAAATGCTATTCTCAGGGATCTTTGTCATCAAGCAACATTTTTCTCCTGCCCCATTCCTCCCAAGACAGGGGAAGGAACTATTTGCTTGTTCATTGTCAGTAGGACGAGGTAGGGTTTAGATCAGATTTGTATGAAGCTGCAGGCAGATCGTGTCTTTGCATAGTTTCATCCTTAAAATGCTGCTTTCAGACCTTTGTCTCTCCATTGCCACCTTAGAGAGGAGCATCTCAGGAACTTAACTGTTACTGGAATTTATGCAGAAAGAGGATTGCTTTTTCTGGATCTGAGACTTTCACCAATGGAAGCAGTGTACTGGTTTAAGGCCTATTAAGCACCAGCCCATCTCCTCCTCCCTCCATCAGTACAGCTCAGTGATACACTGCTGGCCTTTCCCCTTCATTTGGTGGTGCTCACTGCTGATCCTCCTCATCTCCTGGGTTCATTCTGGGCATTCACTGCTTCTATACTCTGGCATTTCCCTTTGTTTCTCCTTCATCTACTGATCTGGTTTTAAGGCATGACCCACAGTTCTCAGTGGTTCCTCCTCCTGCTCTCTAGCTGTGAATTTCATATGTTGCTTCTGATTTCCCTATGCAAGCTAACAGTTTTCAGCTTTGGCATAGCTGATTTCTCCCATCTTTGTCTATAGCAGGGCCCTGCTCAGTTGTCCTGATAGACCTGGTGACAGAGGTGCATAATCAAATAGATACAGAGGACAGAGGTTTACAATTTTATCATTACCTGAAATATTCTGATTTTTTTGTCTTTTTTACCCCGGCAGTGTCTCTGACTTGAGAGCATTTTGGCTGCTGTCTCTTCCCCTGAGCTCTGTCTCCTCATTGGTTTCTGCACACAGCCCCTTCCTCTTTTTCATAATTGACTCGTTTGCTCCTCCAGCGTTGCACTTCATCCATCTTCCTATTTCCCCTCTCTGATCTACTCCTCATGTCCGCTTCCTTCATTTTTGCTGCTGGAATGTGAAGCATCCCTCCAGAAAAATAGAAGGTCTCTGTGAACTTTTACCATCCCCCCTGTATTCCCTCTTCCTTCATCTCTATCATCTCTTCCCAGATGGTGGGACAAATACTTGCTTGCATTCATTCTCAGGCTTGTAAAATTGGCGTATTCACTACTTCTTTTTCACGTGATGATGTGAAACAAGGATAATTGTACACATTTCTCTGCTCCTCAGGACTAGGCTCAATTTGAGGAAAATATTTCCGAGGCTATTGTGGTCTTTGGAGCACTGCAGAGCTCTGGATCTTCACTGTTGTGTTTTTCTTCTGTATCTCTTTGACTATGACAAATTGCTGCCACATTTGCTTCTACTCAAGATATGAAAGACAAAAGCTAAATCAGACCCAGCCATTGATGAGTACAGAGAAGTTCATGAATCCAAAGAGTGTTCTCTGTCAAAGGACATTACACACAGAGGTACTCTCAGTCATTATGTGGGGTTTTTTTCTGTTTGATGAAGAGGCACAGGACAAAGGGAATTTCTGTCTGCTGGGATGGCACCTGGCTTCCAGAGCAGTCAGTTCCCACATCCTTATGGAAATCGTGCATCTCAGTTTTTCAAGAACTTCAAAATACCTGTTGGGAGATAGACACTTCGGGAACTTAGTAGTTGTCCCCATAGACAAATCTGCAGGACTAGAGTATCCTGGGCTTGTCAGTATTTTTGAGACCATGCATCAAATTAGGGAGATTAAGGAAGTTAATAAATGCAGTTTATTTTAGCAGAGGACATGGTATCTAACTGCTCAAGGAATTAAGTTACAAAAGAAAAAAAGAAAAAAAAAATCACTGATCTGCAGCTGCCTGAAACTCAGCTGCATCCCCCCAGTTTCCCATATGTCTTCTTGCGGTGTACCCACCAGGGAGAGCCCACACTCACAACCTTTATCAGACCAGTGCCTTCTTTTTGTCCCTGTTTGCTTTGTTTTTTTGTTTTTGTTTTTGTTTTGTTTTGTTTTTAATACGTTTCTTACTTAGTCAGCTAGTGAGTACAGACTGACTCTCAAAGGAAAGCTTGGCACCACCATGCTCTATTTTCCTATGGCTAGATTTGGAAATATCAGTTAAGTGTTCCTTTCATGCTGGCAAAAATGCAAAGACAGCATTGCCGACTGTGCTCTTCCTGACCAGGCAGTTGTTTTTTGATCGATGCCTTGGTTTTTGCACGTATGGAGGGAGGAAGCACTCTCAGTAGGCTTGCCTTCCTCCTGCTGTCGCTGAGCTCTCTAGCCAGCCAGTCCTCCTAACCCAGACAAATGTATTTGCTTGTTACAGAACTTCCCAGGTCATCTACATTAAAGAGCAATGCATGGATACTGTATTAAATCAAGCAGCTGTCCTCTGCCTCCTTGTTCAGGTTAGACATGATACATGAACATGCTAGAAAATGGTTTCAGCAGTGGAGTTCAGACTGTGCAACACCCACCTTGAGCCACTGGCAGTTTTAGGAGGTTGCATTCCAGACATTAAGACTTTTGCGCTGAAAATTATGGACACTGCAGTGCAGAAGGAACAAAAATCTCAATAAAAAGAATCTGTCATGCAATTGCTTCACCACATTCACTGGCCTTGCTCTTCTCAGAAATTGTCATGCTGTGGTACAGGGCAGAAACTTACAAGTCTGGAAAGAAAGTATATTTTTCTAAAGTATCTATGGATAATGCTCTTAATTTTCACTTGCTTAATTTTCTCCTTGCTGGCTTCTTTTAGAGCATCCATAACTCAGGTTTACTTGACAGCACTACAGAAACAGACATGGTTGATATCTTGGGAATCAAAGACATGATGATTTTTTTTAAAAAAAAGGCTGTCTAGCCTGTTTTATCTTTCCCAGCCTAATGGAGGTTTGTTTGGTACAGCACATCCTCTGATGATAATAACTTTCATCATTTATGAGCAGAAGTTTATTTTCTAGCGAACTAAAAATGTTCCTCCTAAGGAGGTTTTCCCCGTTTTCTTTTGGACTGGTTTGTACAGCCTGAGATCTCAGTTTAGATTTCCGTTGTTTAGATTTCCGTTGTACTTTTTTTTTTTTTCCTTTTCTTTTTTTTCTTTTTTTAAATCAGCCCTGACATCCAAAGAGGTTTCCTCTGCTGAAACCCTTCAACAACTGCTCAGACCATTTACAACAAGCACTTTCACAGGCTGTATCTCTACAAAAGTGAGGAAAAATCGAATTAACTACCTATAATAACCAAGTTAAATGTAGATTTAAGTGTTTGTGAACTGCGACTGACTGAAAGGGTGCCAAACATTTTGCAAATATACACAAAAAGACAGGCCCCTGCTCTAATCGGCTTATAAATTAAAAGGAAAGTACATTGGCAAGAGCAGAAGAGATGATATGACATGCTTTAAATAGTTTATAGGGAGCTGGAGGATTGTTGTTTATTTGGTGATGTTGGGAAAATATTTAATGTGCTTTGGTTAAACTCTTTATAGACATGCTTCTCATCCCCCAGTTTTCTTTTCCAATGACTGTTTTGGAGATTAAAACCAGCAAGTTTAAAGTAGATGGAAAATGGAGAAACGTATTTCCAAATCGACAAAACCTCGACTAAATCTTTATAGAATTTTTTTATGTGAGTCAGGCTTTCTGAAGTAATTATCGTAATATAAGAAAGGACCAGCGCTTCACCGCGCTGGTGGACGGCGAGCCAGGGTCGCAGCTGGTGTAAAC